GAAGAACATAAATAAAAAAATGTGAGAGCTCATTCAACTTCCTCTGAAAGCAGCGACCACAAACTTTGCTGTTTGACATTTCTTTCGTGCGAATTTTAAATTTGAAACGGCTTAAAATAGAACTGGAGGTGGGCAACAAATGTCGGTATCAACTCTAACGACTTATTAGGAAAAGGAAGTTTCTGTATGTTGGAGGACGTTTTTAGTTTTTTCTTTTCTGTTTGTTTTATTAGCTTTTCAAAAAAAAAAAAACTTTGTTTAAATACACTTTCCTTTATGCAAAAAATACTGTCCATGAACTGGCACAGTTAAACAGAGCAATATTAAGTATATATTTAAAATATATAATATTAAGCACTTTGGTAACATCTGCTGTTTTAAATTTGACTTGACTTATTAATTCAATTTCCCTTCATTTAAAGTTATTATTAGTTTGGTTCTGAATTTACTAACAGGGTAGAATCTGAGACACATTTCAATAAAGCTTTCAGTTAGATAGTCACCTTAAGATTTATTATTAAATGCTGTTTTATTGATTTGTTTTAAGCTGTTTTTATTGTGTCTTCCCAATGGGATATGCCCAGAAAACCTCCAAAGGGAGGTGTCCAGGAGGCATCAGCCTCAACCGACTCCTTTCGATGAGGAGCAGCAGCTCTACTCCGAGCTCCCCGATCGACGGAGCACCTGACCCGGTGGGGGTCTTCCATCGGTTCCTGCTTGAGAACCATAAACCTACACTCAGATGTAAAGTACATTTAAAATCCCCTCGCAAAAGAAAGTTGAAACAGTTGAAACAAAAAAACATTTTGAATCTGAAAAAAGTCATAAAGACACCAAATATCAATAATATTCAAGAGTGTGGGGAGTAAATGTCTGCAGTGTAAAAGCATTTTTAAAAAATTATTTATCACACAAACTAGCTCTAAAGAACACAATATTCTTGTTTAACAATTTCTGGAGTTTGCATCACAAACACAATGTGCTCACATTTTCCTTTTCAGAAAATCGCTCATTTCCTTTTTTTATTTTATTTTTTCAAGTTAAACCTTATATCAACATTTTTAAGTTAAACCAATTATCGATGAACAAAACACTTTCTTGTTTAAGAGAGATAGTACTTTTTAATATATTTTTTACTAAAATAAATTGCCTGTTTTGGCAAATTCAATAACAAACTGAAATGACTCAAAGACACGTTCGGTAGCTTTAGTCTAGTTATGAGCAATAAACAGCTGTTGTTGCTGCATCGGCTCAGAAATCATGACTGCAGTCCTGCATGTCATCAGATTTTCTGATGGTTGCAAATTCTGTTGAACAGCTGTGAACTCATTGTTTTAAAGTTGTGAAATATTTAGCTCTCCCTCACAATTTAGGCAATTTATCTGTTTTATACACACATGAAACGGTTGTGCGATTTATATCATTTCATTGCAGTTATAATGATAAGCTTTGTTTCGTCTCATAACTGCAATATTAGTTATCCTTTCTTACATGGAGCCATGTTAAAATTGTTTCATTCGATCATTTATTTTACAAAAAATTAAATAAATAAAACTCCAAACCTGCAGGAGTTGTGGAGGACGAAAGAACAATCATGCCTGGAAAAAAATATAGCAATTTAAGAGTGCATTAAAAGGTTTTTTTTTTAAATACATTTTGTTAAATAAAAGATCAAATACCTGGCATGGCTCAAAAGACAAATTGTTTCACCTTGTTGGCAGTAAAAGACTATTTTGAATATATCAAACTTAAAAAAAAAAACAGAAACAATATGTATTTCTGTGACAGGCTGTCGTCAAAGTGTCTAAAGATTCAGTTTCAACATAAAACATCACTCCTGTTCATTCCTCAGGTTTAGAAACTTTTGTGCCTCAAGGATTTTGTAGCTCAGAATTAAATGTCAAGTTAAACAGAACTTATTCCTCTGACAATGGATTAAACACACACGAACACTCAAAAAATATAATATATAATAAAGACTAAATGAAAACCTGTGATGCATTTAGACCATTTCATTTTTAAAGCTTACAAGACACTGCAACAAACTGGATGAAAATGTTAAAGAAATTAAAGTATTCATTGAAGGAATGCATATCACCCACTGCCTTTCACTCCAAAGTTATAAACAATATTGCGTGATTTCTTAGCACTCAGAGCATATGTTGGGGATGACTTGCAAACACTACCAGAGCAAAGTTTTGCTCAACATCTGCAAAAAAATATATATATATAAAAAAATTATAGAATTTTAGACATTTGTGTGTTGGCTAAGGTTGATCTATTGTTGCAAAAAAGTTTATCAGTTGTAGATGCACAACTTAAAATGACTATGAAGATTGTTCCATGACTTTTGCACATGCAGTATTTGAATTGCCATCAGCCATCATTGTGCTGCACTTTACTTAGACCTGTCTAAAGCTTTTGACACTGTGGATCATGACATCTTGTGTCATAAGCTCTCAGAAATTGGTTTCTCAGCTCACACCATTGGTTGGTTCTTTATCTATCTCTCAGATCAGTGACAATGTGTTTAACATGAAGGTACTTCTTCCAGTTATTTAACGGTTAACAACGGTGTACCTCAAGGCTCAATCTTAGGTCTCACCCTCTTCACAATCTACATATAAATGTAGGTCAGAGCATCCCTGATGCATCCTTACATTTCTATGCTGATGACACAGTTGTTTATTGTTGAGCTAAAACAGTTGTTGAGATTTTCCAGATTTTGTAATCCGCTTTCGACATCATCCAGTCAGATTTGTTCCGTCTCAAACTTGTCCTGAACGCCGACAAAACCAAAGGGATGTTGTTTTCAAACAGGAAGTCGGTCCCAGCAGTTCTTCCTTCGATTTTATCCTCAAAATGGTGTCCCTATTGAGTTTGTTGATTCCTTCAAATATTTGGGTATCTCGGTCGATTGGCGTCTCTCTTTTAAGCTCCACGTGGAAAACTTGTTAAGGAAACTGAAAGTTAAATAGGGTTTCTTTATCAGAAGTAGATCCTGTATAACTCTTCTAGGGAACGCCTTGTAACTGTGACTTAAATTTCCTTCCCTCCATTGACTACGGTGACATTATTTACCTGAACGCCCCTACAAGCACCCTGCAGATGCTGGATGCTGCCTATCATGGTGCGCTAAGATTCATAATTGGTAGTAACTACAGTACCCACCATTGCGCCCTGTATTCACTGGTTAACTGGTCATCATTAACTTCACGCAGACTCTCTCACTGGTACATTTTCATCTTTAAATCACTTCTTGGTCTGCTGCCTTCATACATCTCCTCCACATGTCACTGCGCAAGTGCAACTACAGCGTGCGCTGTTAGGACATTATTACCTGCAGTGTCCCCTCAGTGCGGACTGAACTAGGCAAAAGGGCCTTCTCCTACTCCGCTCCTGTTTCCTGGAATATCTTGCAAAAAGCTCTCGACCTTGACCTCTCTAAGTGGCTTCAAACATCTGCTAATTTCCTGGCAAAAACCAATGCAGACATGTTCCTGTTTTTAGCTTTCTACATCGCTTTACAATTGAGTGGTTTTTGTTTTGTTTTTTAATACCATTTCCTTTTGTTTGTTCTTCTCAATTTGTCAATTCAATTCAGTTTATTTATATAGCGCCAAATCACAACAAAGTTGTCTCAGGGCACTTTACAGGAACATTCACATAGATAAGCCAATTAGTAAAGTTCTCTATCTAAGGACGTATGCTTTTTATGATTGTCTACTGTTGTCTTTGTTGTCTACTGTTGTCATCACGCTTTGTTAAAATCAGGTTTCTCTTGTAAATGAGTCCCCGTGACTTAATGAGACTAACCTGTATAAATAAAGGTTGAATGAATGAAAAAGACTGACCTGTTCTTCTCCGACGGTCCAATCATCTGAGATTTGCGTTTTGCGCCATCTAGTGTCCAAATAGGTGAAGTGCCTTGATATTTTATTTTTTAAATGCCAGGGATTTTTCTAACTTTTACGATAATAATTAACCACAAGGGGAAACAAACTTCACTATTTTGGCAATAAAATACTAAAAGGCTTTATTTGCTTGTTTGTGTGCAAGCAAATAAAGAATAATACTTTAAATGAGTAAATAAATAAAAAAAAATCAGGAGGGAGAACAGCGCCCGTTGCCAAAGTTGTTGCTGCGCATGCTCAGTTCCCTCCCACCCCAGTGTACTTTCAGTTTGCGCTGACGGTGAGCTATCGTTAGCTTTTCTCTCCAAGCTAGAGCAGAAAACATCAAATATAAGCCATGGTTACTGAGTAGTGGTATTCTTTAGACGGTTCAGTGTTCGTACTCGAACACTAACTGAGAGAACAAGCGACAATGATCTGACGAACAGTCCGCTGTCATTTGTTGACTCTTCAGGACAGGCAGGTGAGCTGACTTCAGATATATTACTTTTGTTAAGTTTTATATAGTCCAGATTTCTATCAGGTTGTTTTTTTTTTAACCCAAGTGACAGTAATGTGAGTCTAAAACAGAGGAAAACAGGCATAAATTAAAGTAGTTTGGGATGAAATAGAGCAGTTAAAGCACTTGTGTGTGTGGATTGTTGAACATTTTTAGCAACAATGGCAAAAAGAAGCTGTTGCACAAAGCAAATTAAACTAAAAAGTTTAAATATATGGTCAAACTCATGTGAAACATCATTCTTGAATGCATGAATATTAGGGGTGCATCGATAAATCAGAGACGATAAATCGTCTGGCCGATTTATCGACCCCGATTTCCTTAATTTTGGGAAATCGGACGATAATTGCATAAGAAACCGATTTTGCCGATTTTTGTAGTTTTAACCACAATTCTCTGAACTTCACTTATAGTTCAGAGCACTATACCATCATGGCCAGTTAAAAGAAGCTTGTATTGTTTCTAGGATATTGTTCAAGGGTATGTTTTATGTGTCGCTTATAAAACAAAATCGGTATAGGCCAAAATCGAAATCAGCAGGTCAGACTTTTTAGAAATCGGTGATCAGCCAGAAAACTGCAATCGGTGCACCCCTATACGTTTATGATAGAAAATGTTTTATTTTCCAGCTGAGGCCCTTGCACATGATGGATCGAGCTGTACCTAAACAGAGCCAACTGTGTGGCTCTTGGGAAATGAAGGAAAAGCTTGGGATGGGAGGCTTCGGCCAGGTCTACCTGTACCAGCACCTTGTAAGTATTGTCATTTTACTCTGTACCTCCTAGATGACCGTGAACTCGGGGCTCAGATGTGTCGTTTTCATTTGCGGAGCAGGAGTCCAGTGAGAAGATTGCTGTGAAACTGTGCCGCCTGGAGCTGAGCAGCAAGAACAGAGACTGGTGGAGCAGAGAGATCCAGATCATGAGAAAGTGAGGGTTAGATTTTGATACTGAATAAAGCCTATGCATAATTTTCAGTACACGTTGAGCATTTTAATCTTTTTTTTTTTTTTTTACAGGCTGAACCATGTGAATATTGTTAAAGCCAGAGAAGTTCCAGACGAGTTAAACTCAATTGCTTTAAATGACCTGCCGCTGCTGGCCATGGAGTACTGCTCCAAAGGAGACCTACGCAAGGTACCGAATTAGTATTAGATAAACTAAATAACTCTAAATAACACTTCATGCTTTTTGTTTAGGTGCTGAATAAACCTGAAAATTGTTGTGGGCTAAAAGAAAGTGAAGTCCTCTTGCTGCTCAGTGATATGGGTAATGTTTTCACCTGCTTTTACTTTAATAGATAGAAACTGTATTAAATTACACACTGATGTGTGGATCTTCTTCAATATGTGCAGGTTCTGGTGTTCAGTATCTTCATGACAATAAAATCATTCACAGAGACCTAAAACCAGAGAATATAGTCCTGCAAGAAATTGATGGAAAGGTGTATAAATTCACGTAGTTTGTGTAATTTGCAATATCATACTTGTTTATTGTTTTTTTCTGGATTTTACTGTCAGTTATTAGTAATGCTAATGGGTTTTTTTTTCCAAGATTGTCCATAAAGTCATAGACCTGGGCTATGCCAAAGATCTGGATCAAGGCAGTCTTTGTACATCCTTCGTTGGAACTCTTCAGTATTTGGTAACCAAGTGTTGCATCAGCGATGCAGTTCTCTTTATGCAGTTTTTATTTCCTGTAAGTTCTGAGGCACGCTTTCTTGTTGCAAATCTTTCTGGCAGGCTCCAGAGCTGTTCGAGAGTAAACCGTACACTGTAAGTGTGGACTACTGGAGCTTTGGGACGGTTATTTTTGAATGCATTTGTGGCTTTCGGCCATTTCTCCATAACATGCAGCCAGTACACTGGTGAGTCAACGATTCATCCGTTTACAGACTGACCTACACGTTAAAACTCATTCAGGTTACCGGTAGGTTAAGTTCAAGTTGTGTTTATTTGTCATATGCAAGGTTAACACAAGGTTAACAGTACGATGAAATGCTTAGGATGAGGAGAACCGATTTGACTCGATAAAAAAAAATTTAAAGAACAAACAACCAAGAAATACTAAAGCATACAATAAGGGTACAGAAATAAAGTACCATAAAGTGTAAAAGTAATTATAATATTTACAAGGTCCTAAAGAGATAACCTATAAATAATTGATCATCCTCATGTGTTTTTTTTAAAGATTTTAGCTCAGTTTTAGTCGATTCAGCAATAAAATCAATAGAAAACACACGCAAAGTGATGTAAACAACAACAAAATCCTGACACAGGCATTTATTGTCAGCCTTGTTTATTTTTGGGCGAGAGTTCGATGAGCTGTTTTCTCCTTAACCATATTTCTCTTTTTGTAGGACAAGCAAAGTCAAGAACAAAGGACCTAAAGACATCATGGCAGTAGAGGACATGAATGGAGAAGTTCGATTCTCAACACGTCTGCCATATCCCAACAATCTCAGCAGGTAACATTAGGATGCCTTGTAATAAATAAACGTCCTGCCACTGAGTGGTTTTGGGAGCTAATGAGGGTTTCTCTTCTAAGAAACTAGTGCGTCACCTGTTTGTGTGCGGTTGTGCATGTTCAGAGTGCTGCTGGAACCGGTCGAGTCCATTCTTCAGATGGTGTTGCTGTGGGATCCTGCAGTCCGTGGTGGAGGGCTCGATCCTGAAACAAACAAGCCATACTTCTACACCACTCTGCAGAATATTCTCAGCATGAAGGTTAATCACTCGAACCTTATTTTTGTCACTGAACACAAGACGCCAGACTGCAAAGCAAACTTCCCATTCTGCACCTGCTTTTTATTTTCTAGGTTATGCATGTTTTGGACATGACGTCAGCCCAGCTGCACTCAATGGTTTTGGGTGGTGAGGAAAGTTTGCTCTCCCTGCAGCTTCGTCTGGAGATACACACCCAGGCACACATCCCCCCACTGAGCCAGGAGCTGCTGCTGGAGACAGGAATGTCTCTCGACCCGAGGTGGCCGCCAGCTCATTGTCTTCCGGAAGGTTTGGTATGTGGAAAAACAGAAAATAAGCTAAATTAACTAATAGTCAGTGCCTTTCAAGATAAAAATCACAAGGCACTTCACATCAGAATCACATAAAAACAACAAAGATATTAAGGTAATAACAAAGTCCATGCTCGATAATCCAGGTATACAATCCAACATTTTTCAGTCAGGTCATCTGGACAGTTTCTTTTTTGGTGCTGAAACGTTTCGCCTTCGATACGGAAGGCTTCATCAGTCAAAGAAACACAACACAAAACTGATTCTTCCCCCAACAGCTCACTCCAAAGTGGAACAAACCAGATTTGTTGGTGCTAAAATGGTTTCTTTGGTACGCCCCCTCCTCCATTGCCGGCCCTCTTCCTTGTTGACAGTCATGTCAAACTGGTTGAAAACAACAAATCCATGCTCAATAATCCAGGTAAACAATCCAACATTTTTCAGTCAGGTCATCTGGACAGTTTTTTCTTTTGTGCTGAAACCATCTTAGCACCAACAAAACTGGTTTGTTCCATTTTGGAGTAAGCTGTTGGGGCAATCAGTTTTGTTGTGTTTTTCCTTGACTGATGAAGCCTTCTGGATCGAAGGCGAAACGTTTCAGCACAAAAAAAGAAACTGTCCAGATGACCTGACTGAAAAATGTTCGATATTAAGGTAATATAAGAATTAAAATTATATAAAGGGCTACAGTATAAAAGATGATTAAAAAAGCTAATCAAACGTCGGCCTAATTCAGCTTTCCTTAAATAAAATGTATTTGAGAGGGCAAGAGCCCCTGAGTGTCCAGGCAACGACTCCAAAGGATCTGTCCCCTTCAGTTTTTAGTCTTGGTTTAGGATTAAACGTCCCTGATCAGTCGACCTCAGGGTTCTCATGGTGAGATCAAAGATCAGGAATGTATGAAGGTGTAACATTACACTGGGCTTTAAAAGTCCAGACCAGAACCTTGAACTGAAAGGAAGTTAATGCAAAGTGATCAGCAAAGGTGGAACGTTGGAGAACTTTCAGGCAGAAGCTGAGCAGCTGCATTTTGTCGAGCTGCAGACGATTCAAGGAAGTTTTCCTCAGACAAGTAAAACTGGAAGAGCAGTCGTCTACGTGGAACGTAACAAAAGAAAGCTTTCACGGCGGTTCATGCAGACGTTAGTTTGTAAATCTGTACACCTCTGGTAACTTCCCATTACACGGTTATTTACAAAGATTCCTATGGTTAGTTGCAAGTGTAAATTATGGCAGCTAGCTGTAGCATTTTTGGCGCAGCCTTCAGCGCTTCCTGCAGGAATGATTAAAATTGAGAATACCAGTGTAAAGTGAAACTGACAGAGGTATAAACGTTTATTTAAAAAAGTATTTGGTTGGATCTCTATGAAATGTTTTAAACGGGAGTTGGTTTAAGGAGAAAGCGTTCAACTTGGACAAGCCTTTAGCTTATCCTTAGCTTAGCCAAACTGAGGCGATCGCTTTGTCTACCATGGGGAACAGGTAATATTTGTTTATATTTCCATGAAACTATACTTCAAAAAGATCTGAACTAAACTTATAATTAAAAAAAATAGAATAAAAACAGATGCACCCAATAATTTTTTTTAAAGTTGTCATTATAAAATAAACCCTCAGTCTTCAATGTTCAAAGCTAGGGATGCATGATATTATCGGCATATTATTGGTATCGGCCGATATTAACGATAAAGTTAAATATCGGACATCGGCCATTCCATCAAAATAACTCACCGATATAAAAGACTTCTGTTTTAAGTTAATTTTTAATGTAAAAAACTGTCAAGTACATTGTAAAGAGGTTAAGTTAAGATTTGTGAACATTTATAAAGTTGCACTGTTCGAGTGTTGTCATTGTTAGAGAGTAAATGTCATGAATAAATTTCACATTAAACATAATCCAAATTGAAGTGTTAAATCATTTTCAGCCCCTTTTGGCATCTGCACTGTTAGCAGGCCAAATTGACAAACACCATGCAGAATAATGTAGTATTTTAAATCCACAGCAGAGTAGGTCTAGAAAACATTATTGGTATTGGTTATCAGCTAAATAAGTTTTAACATACTGGCATATCGGATATCAGCCAAAATTCAAATATCGTGCATCCCTATTCAAAGCATTCCTGTTACTTTTTAAATGGCGTGTTGTAAACAAATACTTTCACGTATTAAACTTATTCTACCTGGCATGTGCACAAATTAAGTAGATCTGGGTAAAGAATCGAGGCTGGATTTCTCTTGTGAGCAAAGCTTGCCTCTTCTCTTCCTTTAACATGCAACTAACAGCATTGCTACAAGTTCACGCATTGCAACTGCGCCGCAAACGAGAACTTTTTGACTTCAACCGGTGGGCACTCAGGAAATGAGGTGATTCACAGCTTTTGAATAAGATTGGGCAAAGCTGTCGTTTACAGTTCTCTGCATGAAAATAGACCAGGCGTATTTCCTTGTAACTTCAGCTGCTCTTATATTTGCGTGTTTTAACAGGAACAGTTTCTTTTTAAAATATTGGACATCCTGAGTTCGACTTTATTGTTGTTTCCGTTGATGAAAATGTTCGAATGACATTTCTATCATCTCGGGAAATTGTGCAGTCTGATCATTCTGATTATTTGATTTGATTGCAGCGTGGCTGGGACACCTTCATAGTGTTCCTGTTTGATAAGAGCCTTACCAAGTATTCTGGACCACTGACAGCCAGACCTCTGCCAGACAGTGTTAACTTTATAGGTGAGACTCGTAATTCTGAGCCATAAAATGATGTTTCTGTTTTTCTCCTGCTGTCTCTGGACTGTTTCTTTTGTCGTTAAAAGTTGTTAACAGTTAATAAACAGCACCTTTGATATCAGTGTTATTTTGATGGAATGTCCGATATTTAAATTTATCGCTAATATCAGCCGATACCGATAACATGCCGATAATATCGTGCATCCTTAACATAAACCTCATTTTTTTTATTAAAACCCTTTTTCTTCTAAGGGTCTAACTCAAAACTGATGAATATTCTTCAAGCATTTTATTGTATAAGATGTACTGATACATTAGGTTCTGGTTTGTGCCCTGTGTGTTACTTCCAGTCAGGGAAACGAGGACGCAGCTGCCTCTGTCTGCTCTCAGAAAGGTGTGGGGTGAAGCAGTCAGCTACGTGTGCGGACTGAAGGAGGACTACCTCCGCCTGTACCAGGGACAGAGAGCTGCCATGTGCGTACAGTGTAACTCATTTAATCAAAGCACACCAACAAATGTAAACGTCCTTAATCCTGTGTGTCTTTGCAGACTTAGCCTCCTGCGATACAACACCAACTTAACGCGGTTCAAGAACGTGCTGCTTTCAGAGTCGCAGCAGCTCCGAGCCAAACTGGCCATCTTTAAAACCAGCATCCAGCACGATCTTGAGCAGTACACCCAGCAGATGAACACTGGCATCTGTGAGTGCATTTTATCCTCTTTTCTGTGAAGCGTGCGTACATTTTAATCCAATGAACCCCAAGGAATCTTTCTGTTGTTGTGTGTTTATGTGAAGCTTCTGAAAAAATGCTGAAGACGTGGCAAGAAAATGAAAAGAAGGCTGATGACTTCACAGAGGTAGGACATTTGATAACTTCATAGCAATTCGTTTAAAACTTGACGTTTTGATATTTAAAGTTAAAAGGTTCTTTTGTTGTTGTTGTTGTAGGTTGCAGATGTGAGTCGTCTTGATGACGAGATAGTCGCTCTGCACTCCGAGATCGTGGAGCTGCAGAGGAGTCCGTTTGCCAGGAGACAAGGAGATGTGATGCAAAAGCTGTCAGTAACTGTTCAACTTTTTCTGATTTGCATTTTACAGACGCTCAAATGTGCATTCGATCTGTTTTTTGAGCTTCAGATGTTTAGTCAAATAATACATTTAAAGAAACTCATACCCATATGATTGGCAGTGTAACAAACTTTGAGAAATGTACGGTTTTTTGGGTTGTTTTTTTTTTGTGGACTGTGGACTATTCTATTCCAGCAAAACTTTGTAAAATAAGTTTGAACAACTATAATAATCACATACTGTTTATCTTTTTTCCCAGTGAAGATAAAGCTATTGAACTCTACAAGCAACTAAAGGCTAAATGCAAAAGTTAGTAAAAACATTTCTCAGATGAGTTTTTTTATATAATGTTGCTGTGGATACAGTTAAGTTGAAACGTTGCAGAAGTTGGAAAGTAAAAACTTATGTTGTCATATACTAAGCAGGATACCTAATAGTTGTAGTGTGTAATTTACTGAATGGCTGATCCACAAAGGACATTTTCTGCAGGTCCTGACCCTCCGCATGGCTACAGTGACAGCTCAGACATGGTGAGGACGATACTCCAGATGGTTCAGAACCAGGACAGAGTGTTAAAAGACCTCTACACTCATTTGAGGTAATTTACCCACAAGTTTACTGCAGACACTTACAGTCATGCAAAATTCTGTACTGTGTGTGTTATGTTATTCAGTCTGTTTTTTTTTTTTACCTGAAGTAAAATCCTGATATGTAAGCGACGCATCGTGGACCTGTTCCCTAAACTGGATGAGGCGCTTGTGAAAATAAAAACTGCAAGTGCTGAACTAATGCAGATGCAAATGAAGAGACAGAAGGAGTTCTGGTTCCTTCTGAAGATTGCTTGTGTAAGTATACAGGGTATAAGAGTACAGGAAACTTCATTAACCGTGAGACATCAGAAGCTTGACGCTCAGCAGTATTAAATGCGGTTGTCAGGTTTTTTTAGTACCTAACTGTGTGTTGGTTGTGTCCTAGGCCCAAATTTCTCCATGTTCATCTCTTGTGCAACAACCATCTGACAGGTAAAATCTCTTCAAGGTTCAGCTCACTGCCTCAAAATTTATTTTATTAGCTAAGATGTGTTGAGGATGAATTGGAAATCTGCTATGATAAGCCTGCTGCATGATGCTTCTTTTTCACAAACATAACACCCATAAGAGCATTGAAGTGGTTATTACTTGATTACAAGTGACATGCAGCTTGCTTAGTGTTCTGTCTTTTTCAGTGAAACAGTCAGTAACTTACTGGATGAAAATCAGCGTTATATGAGTCATCTCACTTCTCTTCTGCAAGATGCCACCCAGGAGATGGAGCACAGTGTTACGGTACAGTATGAACTTGTAAAGCGTTGCACTAATTGGTCTATAAGTAGCTTTAGCTTTAGCAAACACTAAAACACACACTGCACAACTTTTGAATCAACAAGCTACATGTGCAAGATGTTAGTACTGTAAAAATAAACCACCATATTGCGTCTTTGCTTTTTAAAAAAATTATTATTATTATCTTAAACCCATAACTTGCCCGTTTCTTAGATTTCTGTTTGAGTTTGGAGAAAAGTCTTGGTGTATTGATGGTGGATAATTTAGTAGTTCCACTTTTGTTTCTTCCTCTCCAGGATCAGGACTGGAGCTGGACTCAGGTTGGAGGAGTGAAAGTCAAGTCTAAGTAGCTTTATAAAGTCTAATTTAATAAGTGCCTGTTCTAAAGTTACTCATCTTTTTGTGTTTTCACATTATATTATTTATATTTATGTAATGCTGTAAGGAAACATTAAATGATACGTGATAAACTATTCTTGACTCAAGTTAAACGTATTTGCATAATCTTCAAAGTTTTTCTGGGGGTAACAATAATGTATTTATTTTTCTGATAATGTTTTACCTAAAACAGTGCTGCTGACAAATTATGCATGATGAGATGTAAATAAATTTTTACAAAAATGTGGAACATAGACGGGTCCCGGGCCGTCCGCCTGAACTTTTGCCTACTGACATTGATACTGACATTGTGATATTTTCCTCTTTGCAGTTTATTTTGGTGTAGAGTTTGTCTCTTGTTTTTGGTCCTTTTGCACTATTGACAGTTTCTGCATAACTTGTGTTTTTAGTCATTTTAATCTGTTGGATTTTCACCTCACAGCCCCCGTATGTAACTATGTTGCCCTCCACAATTACAACATTTTTCTTGAACTTCTCTACATTCTTCTATCTTGTGATCGTCTCCACACTTGGACACCTCTGCTTTCCTTTGCACACTGCTCCTATGTGTCCATATTGCTCAAATTTGTAAAAGTGAAGTGGTGGAGGGACGTAACTTGGAAACTCAAATAACTTATTTTAATGTTTTTGGCTAGATTGTTTCTGCAAACTCGATTAGGATTGACAGATGCCCTACTTTTTCTCCATTAATAGTTTTTGACAGTCTTTTCAAGTTGTACATCTGTGCACAAACAATGCTTTGTTTTATCTAAATCCTCATCTACTGGAATACCATAAATGTCCCTTCAAACTATTTTATTTTGTCCTGTAATCTTCTTGTCCATTACCATTTATTTCAATATGCTCTTGAAGTAAACCTTTTTTGGGCCAAAATATGTGTCTTGTGCAGAACGCCTAGAGTCCGCGATGGTCCAGGAAGGTTAATTCACTTTATTTATATACTGCCAAGTCAGTCACAACAGAAGTCGTCTCAGTGCATTCACATACATTAAAAAAGCCAATTGGTAAAAGTTATCTATCTAAGGAAGCCAGCTTGTGTTGAATCTTCACTTTGTCCCAGTCTCTCACCCTGAACAAGCACAAAGGCAAAAGTGGAAATAAAAAATGTCCTTTTAACTGGAAGAAACTTCCAGCAGAACCAGGCTCAGGATGAGCTCCCATCTGCTTCGACTAGCTGGACTGATCAGCTGCATCAAATGCAGCACTGAGGTCTAACAGGACCAGTACAGATTCACCAGCACTGTTTCAGTGCTATCATTCATTCATTCAACCTTTATTTATACAGGTTAGTCTCACTGAGTCATGAGGACTCATTTTCAAGAGACACCTGTTTTGATGATGAGCTGTAAACCCTGACTGAAACTCCTCAAACAGAATATTTCTGTTCAGATGTTCACACAACTGATTTGCAACTATTTTCTCAAGAATTTTTAGATGAATGTTAGATTAGATATAGGTCTATAATTGGTGAGAATTCCTGAATCAAGATCAGATTTCTTAAGTAAAGGTTTAATTATGGCAACCTTAAAGCGCTGTGGTACGCGACCATTCATTAGAGACAAATTAAGCAGATCCAAAATGGGGATATTAGGGGAAATACCTCTTTAAACTGTGGTTGGGATGGGATCTAGCAGACATGTTGATGGCTTGGGTGAAACTCTTATTTTTGACAATTCCGAGAGCATAAACATAAACAGTTAAAAAAAATCTGGTTCTTGTGACATTTTTAAAGCTGCCTCATCTGACAGTGAATCAGAGGTGATAGTAGGAAGGATGGTTTAGATTTTCTCCCTAATTGAAATAATTTTATTTATAAAGAATCTCATGAACTCAACACTGCTTATAGTTGTAGGGATACATGAATCAACAGAGATAGGATTTTTTATTAGACTAGCTATATTCCTGAAAAGGAACCTGGGGTTATTTTTTTATTCTCAGCTATTAAAGATTAATAATATACAGTTCTAGCTTTATGGAAGGCTTTTTATATAATGGCAGACTATCTCTACAAGTTTTAGAAAATTATTCCTTGTTAGTGGAGCACCATTTTCTTTCCAGCTTTCTGGATGCTTGTTTTAAAGTGCACAACTCAGAATCGCACCAAGGAGCTGGCTTCCTCTGATTTGATCACTTTCTTTTTCAGTGGAGCAATTTTATCAAGTGACGTTTGCATTGAACAACATCAAGGCAACACCGCGGGAGAGCGCAGCCTGTGGAGTTGCTCTCATGGTGAGAGAAGATGCTTCTGCTGCTTTAGTTTTTCTAAATAAATATTAACTCTAAAATACAAATGATTATATGCCCCACATTATAGCAGAGATGTGTGTTTCCATTTAACTTTAATTTTTTTTTTTTTACCCAAAACTCACCATTTTTTCTCTGTGAGTTTCAGGTGTTTGCAGTTTATTGTAAAAATCTGCTAAATGAAATTGTACACTGTTTCAACAATAAGGTTTTGTGGCTGTTCAGATGAGCTAAACTTGATTATATTTAGAATCGTACTGTGAGGTAACTGTACTGTAATAAATGCTCAAATATGAAAAATAAATAGAAATTAAATTTCTATGTGAGTTGAAATCCTGTAAATAGAACCCCTTTGAATTAAATAATCATTTCAAGGGAGAAATCTGTCAGTCTATACTTTTTTTAATACATTAAGCTGATGTATACTCTTCAAAGAACTCCGCTATAATTTTTTTACAATATATCTGACAACCCCTCAAAAAGCAAACTACAGAAAAATTGTTCAAAACCTGTCTCTTCCTTCAAAATGATGTTGGTCTTTATGTAGCAGGTTAAAGTCTTCTTACAGCTTCACTTTATTAGAGAACACTAATGTGTACTTTTATTAAGGCTATCATGTATACACAATTCTGTACACTTTTACCAAGATCATGTACCGGTACACAGTATACTGTAATTTTACTAAGGTTGTGTACACAGTATACTATGTGCTTTTACTAAGGTCATGTACACAATATGCTGCGTACTTTTACTATACTGTGTGCTTTAATTAAGGTCACGTACACATGATGTATGCATTTTACCAAGGTCATGTACACAGTACACTGTGTGCGTTTACTAAGGTCATGTACATAGTATATTGTGTACTTGTACTAAGGTAATGTACACAGTATACTGTGTGCTGTTGCATAGTATACTGTGTACTACTAAGGTCATGTACATAATATATTAAAGGTGAGCCATGCAAATTTGTTTGGATCAAACAAGTAGCCCTTTGTGCCTCGGTCCCACTGAAGTAGATCTCAGTCTCAAAAAGGTTGGTGACCCCTGCAGTATACTATGTGCTTTTACTAAGGTCATGTACACAGTACGCTGTGTACTTTTACTATACTGTGTGCTTTTATTAACGTCATGTACACATGATGTATACATTTTACCAAGGTCATGTACACAGTATACTGTGTGCTGTTACATAGTGTACTGTG